GSRGGGACAGCTGTGACAGYGAGCTGGCACTGCCCCGAGSAAGCAGYGCTCYRGGAGAAGGRAGCAGAGCAACAGAACCCAAAGCCAGAGAATCAYAGGATTGGCACAGCTGGAAAAAGCATCCAAAGTCATCAATTCCAAGTTTCCAGAACAGCAGCCAAGACAAGAATCACCAAAATTGACACATTTCCAAACCGGAAGAGGGTTTGTTACATGTGCACCTCTCCCTGGGTTGACATCGACCCTGCAGGGGTGTCTTTCCTGTTTAAAACCTACTTTTAATTTTAAAACCAGAAATTCCTCTTCCTCTCCTGTCSCAAATGACAGAATCYTGGAATGGTTTGGGTTGGAAGGGGCCTTAAAGCCCATCCAGKGGCACCCTTGTCATGGGCAGRGACATCTCCCACTGTCCCAGGGTGCTCCAAGCCCTGTCCAACACTTYCAGGGAYGGGRCAGCCACAGGGAATGAGGTCAGAGTGCAGTGCCCCAAAGCCTGATTTSAATTATGAAKTTAAAAAAGGTGCCAWCACGAGGCTTATTCCCCAAAAGAAATCCCTTTCATATCCTTCACGAGCTGCTCTGAAGCTTCCTTCCCTGCCTTTGGAATGAACACGTTTGATTGTCAGAGGGAACGAAGGGAAGGATTAAAGACAGAATTTCTGCCCAAGCCACCAGGGTCATTCCAAAGGCAGAGATAAGCGAGCCTGAGTTTGGGAAAGCACATCAAACACAACCCACAGCCACAATACCTTCCACTCCTCCCACTCCTGCCACTCCCAGGCTCGACTCCCAGCTGGCACAGAGCGTTCAGCAGTCCCAGAGTCTCCCCCGCGCCASAAAATTCCGGTGAGATGCAAGACACCAGAAAGCTCCACGTGCAGGGATGGCCCTGTGGTGGCGTTTGCCTGTCAAAAAGACCCGAAAAAACCCACAAAATKCCAAATTCCCACTCACTTGGGGGTGGAGAGCAGGCCCGACAGCTCCTTTGCACTGGACACGGACTGGCTGACGGGCAGCGGCTTCCCGGAGACAACTGCAAAACAAAAAAGGAGAATCCTCAGTTTCTCTGTCCCACAAATCCYTGGGGATTCTGCAGGGATCCCCCTCTCTCCAAGTACCCACAGGCACGCCCAGGGGTTCATCCAGCTCTCAGAAATGAATTCTTCTCTGGGAATCACAGCCTGAGGCACCGCACCAGACACCAGGAGGGTGAAAATCCAATTAAAACACACGTGGGATTACGGCAGCCAAAAGTGAAGGAATCRCCTTCCAAAACCCTGAAGGAATCTCAGGCCCTTGCAACCAAATACAAATCTCCTAAAGATTCTCTCCACTCATCCCCTCCTGTTCCATTACTGCCTCAAAAGATTTCTGGTTGATTTTGTAAGGATTCTTTAATTAAAGACACTTTACAAAATACACAGGGATGCGACGAGTCACGGTTATTTGTTTATTGCAGCATTTTGGGATAGAACTGCATTCCTTTCTTGTGCATTCCTCCTGCTCACACCCGGTAAAAGAGAGGGAATTCTCATTTGGGTTTCATGTTTACTTCTGCAAGTCATTTCCTTTCTGTGAAAAGAAGTAAAGTTTGGAAAATTAAAAAAAATTAAATAAAAACAAAAAGAAGTTCCCAGGAACACAAGGTTTTCAAAACTGCCAGAAAATCAAGCGCAACCTTCCAAAAGGATGTGGGTTTGTGTCTTTTCACAGCTCAGAACAGCTGYTCAGCTGGCACAGAGGTGCTTGGAAAGGAGCAGAGTTATTTCTCAGCTTTGAAAACCTTGGATTTCCAGGCAGAACGGAGCCGCTGACCTTTGGTTGCAYACCCAGGGAATGTTTTATGGAGTTGTGGCATGAGGAAGATGCTCCAGACAAGGCACCATCCTTAGGGACAGCAGGCAGAGCTTTTGGCCTCTCCTGCAGAGGCTCAGGGAAGAAGATGGAGCCCATCAGCTCTTCTTGGCTGTTTTTCTGCGTTGCATAGGCGGGATGGGAGCTGGGATTTGTCTGGATGGGAACCCAAGGTGTGCTGTGCCAGCATCCAGGCCCCGTGGGGATCAGCAGAGCGGGCAGCTYCACTGGGTCAGGGGTTCTGAGCACACACAGCTCCTCCAGAGGGAGGGAGGGAGCAACAGAGCTGGGATCCCTCGAGCAGGAGCAGGTTCCAGGCGGGACGAGCAGAACCGAAGATGCTTCCACCCTGCACAGAGCAAGGGGTCCAGCAGGACCAGCAGCCTGCTCCTGCAGCTGCTCCGGGACCAGGGGGAGGTGTGGGACCAGGGGGAAGTGTAGGA